TGTGTTGGGAGAGGATAAATCCAAAGTATTTGTAATATTTTTGTGATGTAGTAGAAGAAAGTATGAAACAGTAAAGTATCTCGAATTCAAATATTGGTATTTATATAAAATCAACTGTGTAGATATTACCCACCTCCGTGAATGAAAATCTATTTCAGGTATATGAGATCCATTTGGGTATGAAATCTATTTCAGGTATGTGGGGTCTATTTTGGGTATATTATAAGCATATGATTTAATTTTCCAACCATATGGATGTATGACATTCACCATTTGAGATCGCCCGGTCCGAGATAGACAAATTCGAGATATGCAAATCCGAGGCATACGTATTCAGTTAATTATACTACTTTTACGTGAAAAAAGTAAATGAACGTTCATAGATTTATACCATTAAAACATGGTTGAAACAATGTTGAAGTATGGTTGGAAAAGCAATAAATTATACAATAGCGAAGCTAGTACCAAGCACATATATCTTAATATAATCACAGATATATGGTTAAAGTATGGTTAAAGTACTGTCGAAGTACTGCTGAAGTACTGTTAAAATACTTAAGATACACTTATGTTTGGTTATATTTTTTGTTATATGGATAAAAATTCCAAGTTAATGAAAACGCCAGGATGATATGTCTAGTAAAAAAACCACATGCCTGAAAAATCGATTGCGTCACATAGATGTTTGATCAGGCACGTAGTGCCATTACTTCGTAATACATATATCACACAATAAAATCGAAGGTCATGGAACTTTTCATGCATGATGCAATCGTATGACCTTCTGAAATAAAATCACATACCTGAAAATCGATTGCGTGTACACAGATGTTCGATCAACATATCACATACTCTACTACAGAAGGTCATGGAACTTTTCATGCATGATGTAATCGTGTGACTAACTCGTGGCATATGCAATTTCTTTGTGAAAAGTTTTTTCATTGTGCATATTTACATAGTAAATACCCATGGGCTTGCATCGCTTCAGTTCCACATTCCTTAAATCTATTATTCCCATACCTAAATGAGGCCAGAAATGAGCGGAGGGAACATTTTAAAAGGACAGTATATCTACATTATGGCTATTTGTCGCTTTATTTGTGATAAAAACTAATATCTACAATTCCGAAAAATGTCTGAAACAGAAGGATGAAATAGATACTGAACCGGAAAGTGAGGAGGAGGGAGAAAATAGTGATAGCGCTGGACCTAGCGGGACGAGAGAATAGGGGTCCACATTATAATGCTTTGGGGCAGTGGATTCCCTTCCATGCAGTCGTGATAGGTCCAAGCTTTTTATATCTGTATTCTTAGTTTTATATATTTCGGCGCAGGCTTATCCCGTGCTGAAAAGAGAAATAAATTTTAGCCGTGCTAGCTTCATTATTAATTGGGCTCGTGATTTTTTAACAATTCGATCAATTGATAAATCACTAGCCTGATAAATTCCGTTTGTTATTGTTGCTTTGCCTCGTGGGAAAAAATTATTCAGCAGTATCTCCCTTAGTGTTAGCTCGCAACTGACTTCTCCAAAACCAAAATGGCAACATACACAAACTCCAATGGGTATTCCTTTGTTCGAAGTTTTAGCAATATCAGTGAAGCAAGCGCTACCACTGTGAGTAAATACGTGTAACTAGTATTTCTCTAATCTTTTAGTTAATTTCCAGAGCTATTCTTTAGCGAGACCGTTGATGTTCCAAAAAGAATGGCAGAGTACCATTATTATCGAACCCTGTGGTGGGGAAAAGGCGACTTCAATCCAAAAGCAAAATGGGAAGAAGCAACGTGAGTCCCTTTCCTAACTTGTTTTGAAGTTGACTTGCTATTTTTATGATCTAGTGAGATAAAAGCTAATTTTTGGTACTCGTATCAAGACTTCCGTACACACTTGCTGTTGGTGTCACCTTGGATGAATATGAACAGCGTTCGGACAAGTTTAACGTTCGTGGTTATTGGGAATGGGTCGATTATAAAGTCATCATTTATGAACTTCCATCAAAGCCACACGAAACGCTTATTGGTGCGATCACTTCAGAAATAGTAGAGAAATGTCTTCCTGTTAAACGAACTGATGCCAGTATCGGGAATCTCGGTGCAATTCGTAAGTGTCAATTAACTGTCAGCCTTATGTTTGCGATATCAAACAAATCTTTGTTTTTCTTAAGGAACTCGTGCCGACGATTCTGGAAAAGAAGCGGATGCATGTTTTCGCCCTTCAAAACCACGAGTGCAACCACCAAATGGGAGCGATGGACAGGTACCTTATTTTATTGGCTCTGAACTCTTCAGAACTAAGATTTCATATTTTCACAATTTCAGGATGAACCCTGGCCAAATCTTGTCGTCGAAGTGGCGTATTCTGAGAGTGAAGAACATGTCCTGGAAAAAGTGAAATATTACTGGCTAGGTAGCTTTAGTCGCGTTCATGACGCGATCGTTGTTAAGATTGATGAAGTACCTCTAGGCCAACTTCCTTTACGGATGCAAGTAAGTTATATTCCTTAAGTGCACATGATATTTCATTGTTTGTTTGTCATTTTAAAGAATTTAACCCGCACCAGGCATGGCATTTTTGTGTCAGAGACAGACCCAGAAGAACGGCAGATATCCAACCTCGGACTTATGTAATGTCATAAACAAACAATGATCATTTTTTTATCAATGTGTCAAACTTTTAACATGATGTTTGATTTTTAGTTTGAATTTGGTATCCACGACCAATATGGGAACCCGACAAATATTATACCAGGTCAATGTGTCATCAACATTTCTTTGGATTGTTTGTATCATGATGCATTTCCTAGAATCACGATTCATCGACAACTTCTCCCAGATCCAATTGTATTGGATTTCCTGCTAATTCGAGACGAATTCCTCCGTATGTTTGAAACCAGATAACAAAAGGGAAGATTGGAGGAATATAATGCGTGTGCAAAAAGGTATTAAGGGTCATGTGTATGTACAAAATTCCTCAACCAGCAAGAGAGCTAAAATAGAGAAGTAAATGATGTGATAATTGCGGGCCTGTCTGACTACAATTTATTTTTCATTAATAAACATTGAATTTTTTACGTGTGATAATGAGGGTAATATGATTTTATTTGGGGTCGTCGTCCGAGCTCTACTCTGTAAATATATAAATCACGATCGCGTTTCGGTCATGACTATTTTTCTTGGCAAAAGTGATCGGCGTTCTGTCAATAATTTTTAAACTCGATAATTTAAATAAATCTGCACCTTATATAAAAGTTGTTAACAAAACATGTCAGAGCTTGAATCTCAATCTGCTCAATCGAAAATCGATTCGTTGCAAGAATTAAATTCTCAACTCATTGCCACGATTGCTGAGCTTAGAAGGGAGAATGCTGAGGT